GTGGGAAAGGTATTGGCATTGCCCCAGACAGAAGTATTCTTCAGAAACCAAGAAAAATTACTGTAAAGGGGGAAGAAAGAGGCAGAGAGGAAGTGTGAATTCCCAACTCACAGAAGTTAGATGGCTGATAATGTGTAATCACATCAGAATATAAAAGGACTATTCAATAAATTACTTAATCTATCCCATATTCATTTAAAAGTAGCTCCTTTCAGAACTTTCTTAAGTCTTGTTTCTAAAAATGTATGATCACCCCGGGTAAACTGTATTCCTCCAGCAAGTCAGTAGACCAAAGTTCACAGGGCTCTTAACAAAACAAAACCTCCAGAGGGGGTGGGCCCACCCCCAGCTGTGTCTAACAGCCATGGGAAGGCATGTTGTCAAGACCGAGGCCCTGCAGAGCAAAGTGCAGAATTTGCAAATCAAGTGCTCAGAAACACAGTTCAACATTTTAAATTTTATATGGAACCCAAATGTAGGAAATACAAACACAAGACACACATGTTAAATCAGTAACTCCCAAACTTTAGTGAGTACCAGAGCCAGCTGGAAGGATTCTTAAGACAAAGATTGCGAGGCCCACCCCCAGAGTTCCTGGCTCAGCAGGTCTGGGGTGTGGAGCTGCCGATGCTATGGATTTGGGCTACACGTTAAGAACCGCTGTGCTGAAAGTTCCTTGAGGTTCCCACCTGCAGAAAGACTAATTCACAATGCTCCTGGACATGAATGCCCAAGAGTAGGGTCTGTCACCAGGAGACAAACTAAACTGATACTAAGAGGGCAGGCCGGATGTAAGGTGACGGCAGCGGCGAGGACTACGGCTACGTGGAAAGTTCAGGTCCCACCTAAGGGGGCACCAATGACTCGGTGCCAACTGTTGGCACAGGAGGGAGTTTGGGCCCAGGGTTGCCGGCTAGTGGTCACAACAGTGGTAAAACCAGCATTAGCAGCAACAAAGGCAGAGAACACTGCTTACTACTTACTATGTACCCGGCAAGTATGCCCAGAGCTTTAAACATGCCATTCCATTTAACAATGCCAGAGGGCTGATCAAGGGCTGCTGTGATTTCCATTTTAGAGAGAAAGAAATTGAGAAACAGAGAAGGTCAGCAACTTGCATAGAGTCACACAGCTTATAAACAGTGAGGCCAGGACTCTTAATTCAGACTCTGGCTTCATATGCTCAGCCACTGTATTTGCAACTGCTGATCTTCTAATGTTTTCAAGGGAAATCTAAATCCAATCTCCTCTGCCATACTTCCTGTTATTTTCAAAACTTCCGCAGCCACCCCCACACTCCCTAACCCCACAAAAACAATACATTCATGTGTGGGCCAGGGTAGCCCACATGCTGCCAGCTAACTATCCTTGACCTAGAAGCTAGCAAGCACCTCCCAGAACTGTCCACTCATTTACTGAATGCTCGCTACATGCCACGCACCGTGCTACGTACACACCTTGCGAAGATTATCACCTTTCTATTTCTGATGGCAACCCTGGGAGATAAGACACTACAGGGCTCCCTGTTGAAAATAGTAATCAAAAAATAAGAAAAAAATAAAAGAAACTGAGTCACAACATGGACAGATACCTTGCCTCTGGTGCACGCAACGCCCCCAGAAAGCAGAGGCAGAGTGGGGACAGACACCCTGGCAGGTGCCCTCAAGACCACCAGCATCTCTGCTCCGCTGCCCCTCTGACAGGCGTGACAAGTGGAATCCCTCAAGGGGTGACATCACGCCCCCGCTGGGAGAATGGTAAGGCGGGGGCTCCCGAAGGGGGCAGGAGAGGTCTCAGCACAAGGGTTTCCATAACCTCAGAGGCGTGAACGTCTCAACCACGGACCCTGAGAGCCCTTTGGGGTCCCTCCGGCTTGTAGACAACTAACATCCCAGAGTGGTTGCCTGGTCAATTCAGTCAGTCACTCCTTCAGCGTGTGCCTGTGCAGCCCCCCCACCGCCGCCACCGCCCAAAGCTGCATGCAGGCCATCACAGATCCAAACACGGGACGTGGAATGAGAGACGTCATTAACTCAGTGAAGGGGCTCAGAGGGAAAGGCAGCTGATGCCAAGTGGAGAAACTGAGGAAGGGCTACAGGAGATGGGAGTGTGAGCCAGACCCTGAAGGAGAAAACAGAGCCTCCAAAGGGAACCATGCAGCACTGTGAGCAGCTTCGAGGAAGGCTGGGGTCGGGGTGGGCACTGCGGCCCGGAGCAGGAAGGGCCGCAGAGGGAGGGCCCGGGGCTGCAGCCTGTGACTTGGAGGATCAGTCGGGGAAGGGAGTGCGGGCTCCCAGAGCTCTGCAGGATTGATAGGGTGTTAGGTCTCTCTGTGAGCTCCTGAAGGCTTCTGAGATCTCTAGGCTGTGCTTTAAGAAAATCAGTTGGCCCACAATAGGATGATTCTGGATTAACAGAGCCACTGAGGCCAGGAGATGAATTAAAGAAGTCTTCCATCTCAGCAGGCAAGAGCCAAGAGGGGAAAATCTGAGAAGTACCTTAGAGACATTCTCAGAGAGAGACAGACAGAGGTTTTGAGTCCAAGACTACTGGAGAGTAGGGGATTACATGCAAAATGTATGCAATTAATATGTAAAACATGTATCAGGTGCAAAATCCCCTCCCCACCCCCTCCGATTGAGATTCACTGCTTTGAAGAACATCAGCTTGGGTGACGTGCTGGATCACGATGGGCATGTAAAATCTGATGTACCAGTGAGAAAGCAGGTTCTAGGAGTCTAGCTAGTGGGGGTAAAATATGGATCCAGGGCTCTCAAGATAGGGTTAGATTAGAAGCCGAGGGACTCATCTTTCCTAAGACCAGGAGAGAATAAGGAATGAGCCAAGCACCTCAGCGGCTATGCTGCACAAGCCTCACGGACAGACCAGACACAGAAAAGATGCCTGGGATTGGGGGGAGGCATTGGTGAACTAAAAGGGGTAACAAGAGGTTCCTTAGAAACCAAGGAACAAGAGAGATCCAAGGAGGAAGTGACGGTCAACAGAATCATACACTTTGGGAAGGTCAAATGTGATGCATCTACGACTATGAGGTCAGTGGTAACTTTAAGGTGGAGGTGGGGTAGAGCCCCAGAAGTGAGGGACGACAGTTACCCCTACCTCGCCATGAGGGACAAATTAGTTTACAAGAGTTTCGAGAAAGAAATAAGAACAGCTCTTATATGATTGGCTTTTTCCAAGGGTTCCTTCCTACGCTTCCTGTGCAGAGCAGAGGGAAGATACTCCACGTGAAACAGTCAACTCAGCAGGGGTGTGTGCATCAAACAGGGGTCAACCATGCCACCAAGAAAACCAGCTTCAGTGGGAAAATGGGAGTGCCAACATTTCAGACATCCATGTTACCCAGGTTCCTGAGGCCCAGCCCCCCAATGCTTCTCCTATAAAGTAATTACAGGGGCGAGAAAGGTGGGAGGAGGGGAGATAGGGACACTGAGCAGCAGAGATGTGAGCTGAGGACCTCGGGAGGAGTGATCAAAGAGAAAGAAAAAGTAACAATACAAAAGAGAAAGGAAACAGAATTGAAGACCTTTAGAATGTAGGTAAACCAATTTTTAAAAAACTAAAAAACCCAAAACTCAACACTTACTCAGCATGTGAATTTTTGCCACTTTTGCATTAACTCTCAAGTTGACAAATACAACGTCT